TATATATATATATATATATATATTTATTTATTTATTTCACAATCAATTATTTCTGTAAGATGGTAGCTCACTTTTAACTTAGTGATAGAGCCTTCAAGATTTTAATTGTCATGATGGAACCTTACTAAAAATAACAGCATCAGTGATAATAATAGCTAACATTTATGGAGTGCCAGGTACTGTTAAAAGCTTTCTATGCATTATCTCATTCAGTGCTCACAACAACCTGGTGAGGAAACTAAGGCCTTATATCAAGTTGGTGGAAAGTCCCAGACTCCCACCCAAGTCCACTTAAGTCTGGAAAGAATCATCTTTCCAGAGCCCGTGCCTTAAACTTCTAAGCTATCTTTCCTGTGTAATTAGGAAGTTAAGTCTGAGCAAGATCATTTATTTATTTATACCACTGACTTGTTCCAGAAAGGATTTCAGGCATCTGGTTAAGTAATTTGTACAAGATCACCCAGACAATAAGTGGACGGGCCAGGAATCTAATCTCTTTCTCTCACGAACTGTATAAACTAAGTGAGATAACACAGATGTAGGCCCACATCATGTATTTCCTCATAAACATAAGTAGGGGAAATGGGGTCATTTTCTTTGGCTGGTTTTCATTTTCATTCTCATTGGATATGTTCTCAGCATTAGAGATCCTCGTTTTATCTTTTGAGAACGGACGAATAGGGCAACAGGGATACTGGAATAACAGAACTGGGCAGTAAGTCCATTGAGCCCATAAGGAGCCAATGAAAGGAAAGGCCTGAGACTACGAAATGTGCTTGGTACATGACTGGCAACCTGTAAACACCACTGAGTAAATAAACAGTGTTCAGAGAAGGGCAAGGAAGAGCAAAGAGAGGGTTAAATGAGACAAAGGAAGAGTGGGGAGCCACATTCAAGAGTGAGTGAGAATAAAAATAATTGAATTTGGCTGTGCAAAATTTCAGAGAAGTATGGAAGGTATTCACCATTTTAAAAAAAACCGCATATCCTAAAGTATCTCTGTTCAGAGACAGTCCCTCAAGTCTGAACAATGAACCAGTCTGTCAATACCCCTCAGTCTTCTCTTGGGTCTGTAGCATCATCCCTCTTAAGACAAATACTTAATCTACTTAATCCAATTTTTTGTCCCTAAGACTCAGTCCAAACAGGGTTGTGTAAAGAATCATCTTTCCTTGGCAATAACTTGAAAAATAAACAGAATAAATATATACTCATTCTTTTTTTGTGTGTGCTTAACAAGTGGAACATTCATTTGCTTTCAGTTTGAATTATAAAAACACTGCAGACGCTGTTCTTAATCTTTTTTTTTTCTTATGAAGGAAACTGTCTCAATTTAGCATCCTTAACCAAATGTGCTTTAGTCTCAGTGCAAGAATGACTAAAGAAAACACATCATTTTAATAGCAGCTCTTCTGGCCTAGCTGTTCACTGAAAGCTAACTATGAAGGCAAGATGTGTTTGAAATTTCTCATTAAGAACCATGATGTTTTACTTAAGTTGAACTTGGCCACTATGGATAATGTGAAACAGAAGTCACTTACTGAGAGGCAGGGACAGGAAGAGGAAATGGCTGATCTGTTACTACAGTTCTTCAAAGGTGATAGGTACATTTATTAATCTCCAGGGACACATATTCAGTTAGCAACTTGAGCTGACTAGCACATGTGTTGAGTAATGTTTAAATCATTAGAGGGGACATACATGAACTTAACATTGCAGGAATTTATTTCTTCCCCATCCCTCTTTTCTAGACATTTCCTATTTTCTTTTTTACCTAAACTACGTAAACAATATTCAAGAAAAGCAACTCAATTTAAGCTTGTTGGATAGAATTCTGTGAAATACTAATCTTTAGAGCTTCTTTTCTGCCTTCAAACATGGACAAAGAGTTCTCTGCTGCAAGTAAATTAAACTAGGGCAAAGAAATTTCCAGTATCCTTGAGTTTAGTTTGGAGGTATTCCGTCTTTCCACAAAGGTGGCATAATGTATACATTTACTTTTTAATACATGCATTATATTTTTAAAATGTAAGCAATTTAATCTTGTTTGAAGGATTAAAAAACTCTCC